GCTATCCACATATGGTTACAGAACAACATGCTTCAGTATAAAAGTTACTTAATTAAACATTGATAAACAATCCAGCTTCCTGGATGGGAAGGAAACAAAGTCCAGTGGATTGTTTTGAACTTTTTTGGAATTATTACAAGGTTGTGTGGGAGAGCACTAAATACAACCTTAAGATTCTACAAAGCAGAGGTTTTCAGAATCAGGCAAAGGACAACTGCAGCAGACTTTAAATGTGTTCATGTCTTCATAGTATTTATTCAATGAGAGTAAAAAACTTTCAAAAAAAACTAATAACAAAACAGCTAAATATGAAGATGTTGATTTCACAAATTCAATGATCTTGGTAAATAAATAAAAAAAAAAAAATATGCATATAATCCCAAAAAATCCTTGTGTTTTAAAAATACTCCAATTGCTTTCAAAAAAACATTTAGATTTACAATGAATCTTATTTGAGGTGTGTTGATTTTAAAATCTATTATATGTTGATTTAATCCAAATTAAGGTTTGGTCACCTATGTAACATACTTACTGTAGTTATTACTGTTGTCTTTTTATTACATTGGATATAATCAGGAGGTTCAAACAGAAAAGACGTTAGTAACGAAGATGGCTCTGGTGTACAAATTTGAAATTGTAGCTGAGACACAAAACAGACTTTGAGGTTAAACCCATATGAATTTAGCTCTACCCGCAGCTATGTGAAAAAACCAGCATCTTCTAAAAGCAGCAGAGCCTCAGATCCTCCTCTGCATATCACGGAACGTCAGGACCTTCAGATAACTTCTCCGTGATACACACCGGGCCCTGGCAACAAGCTTATCAGACATAACAGTTTCCAGCATCAGCTTGGGCCTTACACTGGAGCTTATGGAATATCTGTGATGATACGTGGCAGAAATCAGAAAAACAAAATGGGAACAAACAGGAACAGACACTTAAAAGTCATAAACTGTCAGATGCAGCCTGCTACAGAGACAACATCAACCACTAAATCATATAAACTGGCTTTATTAAACATTAGATCTCTGTCAGGAAAATCCCTTTTAATTAATGACTTTATTATTGACAATAATGTTGATGTTATGTTTT